GGGATATCTATTTTTAGGTTTGGAAAGCTAAGAGAAGCTAGGGACACTCAGAGCAGAGCAGGACAGGCTCTGCTGAAGTCAAACAGGGAGGATCCTACAGAACTTAAGTAGATCCTGAGCAGAACTTTGGAGATCACAATTTTACTCTAAGAAGCCACAACTGCACTTAGCTCCTGCTTTTGCAATCCAGTTCTCTACTAGATCTCTCTCCTTGTCAGATGATTTTTCCCGTCTTCATGAGTTTTAAAGCTCCAGCAGCCAAGAATTTCAAATACATTATGGGAGTGTAAGATCAGCTGCAACTTTTTCCATCAACTCTGCTAGTGCAGTATGTCCGTTTGAAAACTCTGCTGGCATAACCTCCTAGTTATTAATAATCACAATTTCCTCTTGCTCCTTCCAGATCTGGGTGATGGGAGGGCCAGGCCTCATTAGCTGGTTGGGGACTGTGAAAGCTTGTGCTCTTTACAGAATTGCAGAGAAAAGGGGAAATGTGTGAATTTAGGGAATAGCTTATTCAGCTGTGTGCTGGCTTTGTATTTTTTTAAATTAGGTTATTGATTTGCCTGCTCTTGTGCACACAGAAGAAGCGTGGCTTAATGGTATTTTAGTTGAAGCTATAAATAAACAACAGATAGTCTCACTTAAAAGAAGAACTCTGTCTTTTGTGCTGTTTTCGTAAACAATAGATAGAAGGAGGCAAGTGAAGAGAGAGGTCACCTCCTCTAGTGCCACAGCCCATTAATGCAGCTGGGTCAGGTAGCTCCACACTCCCCAAACCAGCTCCATATGCTGACTCTTTCAGGATATAATTTCAGATGTGCTAATGCTTTTGCTTCCAGAAAGGGCTTTTAGGCATCCCTTGTTCTCCCTCCATGGGAAACAAGCTGTGCCACAGACGCGGCCCCCTGAGTACTGGCAGCCGGGCACTGCTGGAAGGTGGGAAGCAGCTTTTCTGCCCTGAATGTGCCTTCAGCTCGGTGGCAGGCTAGTGGCTAGCAGCAGAAGTGCTCCTGGCAGCCTCACTGCCCCACAGCAGGGAAACGTGGCCCCAGCCAGTAAGAGATGGCCTCTTGCCTCTTTCCCAGAGGCTTGGGAGAGGTGAGGGATGCTGCCCAACCTGGCTGGGGATTGTCCAAAGGAGATGGCGCAGATCCTGGTGCAGAGGGGTACCCTTGGGCTTGGAAGGGCGGAAATGCAGACCCTTGTGTAAAGCTTTTGGGAAGGAAACTGTGCAGGCTCAGAAAGTGATGAGGACAAAGGAACTGAGCATAAGCAATGGTGGGTATGTGTCTGTGTGACCCTGCTGCAGTTTTAATCTGTAAAATACCCTCTACCACCCAACCCACTACAAAGCTTCACTTCCTTTACTTATCTTCTCCTGCATGGGCTACTAAACATCTGCTAGATTACTGTAAACACAGTAAGCAGACAAGAAATTGTTGCTTTAGGGACAGGTTTAGGTGACCATTGGCTCTGATTCTTACTCCTGTTAGAAATCTTATATAATTTAACAATGAATGCATTTTTCCTGTAGTACATATTGGATCATTTACAAAGTAAAAATTTTCTCTACTAACATTGCAGATTTTTCTTAAAATTATTTCTATGTTATTCTCTTTAATATCTTGTTTTCATTCAGTGTAAAATTATATAGGGGTTTCAGTGTGCAATGGTGAGAATGTGAACCACCGTACTTCATGTAGCTAACATACAATCAGATGAGTCACACGTGAATTGAGAGCCTTCCACACCTTCCCATTTCACAGCTGCCTTTGACAGTGAGGAACTTCAACACCTGAGTTACTGCTACCAGCATCTAGATTCAGCCACAGAACGATCTCATATAAAAACCATTTTCCTTTCTTTCTACCCTATATTTATGTTGCTTCCTTTCCCACAGCTCTGACTCACAGGTGTACCTCTCTTAATTTTCCTGTTTTCTCCCACACTGCCATTCACCATCCTTCTCCGAGTTCTTAAAGCACTGGAGAACACTATCTGTATCTGCTGCCTGTCAGTTGTCTCCCTGATGCATTTCCCACACAAACTGTTCTGCCACTTTGCCCTGTCTTAGTGCATCTTTTAGCACTTCCTCTTCTTCTTTTGACACTAAGGTTATTTTTCTTTTTTCCCCCGTACTCAGCCTGGTATTTTTGAAGCTTTGTGCCTCCTGCAGTGTGCCAGACAGCTGCACTTTCTTCTTGCAAATCCTTGAAAATTCATCTTTTCAGTTTAACTCTTCCCCCACAAATCTCACGTTGGAGCAGCTTGTTCCTGCTGTCATGGTTTAATGCTTTTGGACAGCACTACAGGGAACAGAGTGAGGGGACAGCAGTTCTCCTGTCCACCTCCCTTCCCAATTACTGCCATTTGCTACAGGGTTCTTCCCATCACATGAAAGAACAGCTGCATGATCATGTACCTTCCCATCCTCACATTCCCAACATCATGCCTGTGTTTGTCCCTGCTGTAGTTTAAAAGTATAACTTGCACTGAGAAAACCCTAAAATTTAATATAGGCCAACTTTCTGAACAGCAATAAGTCTAACTCTACCAGCTCATGGGAACTTGTGTGCTGTTCTCAGCTGTGTTGCACCTGATTTAGGACACCATCCTGCACATCTGTATTCACAGGACCAAGATTCTCCAGTCTGGAGAGAATGGTTTCAGGCTCTGCAGACTAATGCAACCAATATATTTTCTTACTTACTTTGAAACAGAATGCTACTCTGCATAACTTAAATATTTCAGCAAAACATTCTGGGATGGAAGCATAAGTTATAACCTTTATGAGACAGCCCATATCTGTACATTTAGACCAGTGGAACCTCTCTGATGGTCTTCTGGGATCAGTGTTTCCCATTAGACTGACTGACAGTAAAACAAAAAAGCCCTCACACCTAGAATTGCAGCAAAAAGGGAAATGCCATTCACAATGTATTACTTGCTTGGTATTGTTGTCTACAGGTCAATGAATTGCAGGAGCCAGTGCTTTAGACTTTGATTCTCTAGAGAGATATAGTAAGTGACAACAGTAAATTCTAATTTACACCACTCTGTGTGTGCCCCTGGTAATGTCCTAGCCCATTAAGATCAGGCTTTGCGGCATTCATCCTTGCCTCCTGTGACTGTCCAACTCTCACGCTTAGGTCAGGTCTATGTCAACCCTTGCACAATAGCTTCTCTTCCTGTGTTAAAGTACATGGTCTTCTTTTGATATTATCTCTGCTCCAACTTCTTGCTGTACCAGAGTTTAAAATGTAATGAGGTACTGTCAGCGGACCAAATCTTGCTTTGTTACAAGGATGTGAATGCAGAGTTATGCTCTTGTCTGCAGTGGATTAATGCCCCGTTGTTACTGTAGTCAGCGCTGAACCTGATGTACAGCCTCTGTGGAGGCAACAGCTCAATGTGAGCTTCTCCCTAAGCACTCCAAAATGGGCTCTTTCTCTTTTTTTGTAGGAGAAGACATAAAAACTGTATTGATTAAATCAGGACAAGCTAAAATAAATGCAACAATCTTCCTAGTTAAGCAGAAACAGAAGTATTAAAAAGAAATGCATACTTCCTTCTGCGGGAAGCTTCTCTACAGACATCAGTACTGTTGCTGGTGCTTATGGCTCTGTGAAGCCCTGAAGTCCTGTTGAGTGTTCAAATTTTGCTGCACATTCTGTGACAACTTTGGTCCCTGGCATTAACAAGTCTATGGCTTAAATTGGTAAACCAGAGAGGCTGAAAACTTTCAGGATATAAAAGAAATGTCATGCTTTTTCACCCCCTTCCCCTTACCTGCTTGAGGATTTCTGCTGCCGTTTCATGTGAGCAATCAAATATCACGTAGAACTCCTTGCCCTTCTTCATCTCCTTGAGTAAAGGCCTAGCATCTTTATTCCCAGAAGGAAGTTGGCGGATTTTGATTTTAATGTTGTATCTAGAAGGGGCTTTGATGAGCTCTTGCAGGCGAATTAGACCTGAAAAATTATATGCAATTATAAAACCAACCATTAGGTGTAATAAGTATTTATTGTCACTTAAACAGGGTCTCTTATCAGTCCCAATAGATTTCATATACCCATAGGCTAGTTGTTAGCTTCATATTTGCCAGCCTCCTAACTAATATTGTTATATCTTTCCCTTTTCATGGCTATACTTGGCTTTAACATATAAATATTCTGAAACATATTTTTAATTGGTTGACTATAGGATATGTTTGTATTGATGCTATACTGCTAGAGTTTATTGCAAAAGGGATATAATGCTTCTTCCCTGGCAGCTAATTATTATTTCAATATTAAATAACAATAACATAGAATTGAAGAAACCTCCTTACTAACTGTCCTACCTAATGTCAAGGATAAGCAGAGGAGGGGAGAGAGGGGGAGAAAAATGTCCAATAGCGAGTACCTCCATTGTGGTTCACTTAGAAGCCAGTGGCTAGCCTGAGTGGCAATAATTATTCTAATAGGCATCCATATGGCTCTCACAGAATCACACCGAATCACAGAATGTTAGGGATTGGAAGGGACCTCGAAAGATCATCTAGTCCAATCCCCCTCATTGTCCTCATTCCAGCATATGCTGCAATACACCGGAGAAGGACCCTTAAATTTTTCTTATCAGTTTAGAGACAAAAAACCTGAAGAAATAGTGAAATTAAATGACTTGCGTAAGGTTGCTTAGCAAGTCTGAGATCTTATAAAGACTTGAAACATTTTCAGATTCAGCTCTATGTCTGCAAACACAAGAACATGGTTTCTAAGACTATATCTTCATCTGGTACAAATCTACACAGCTTATTTGAAGTCAGTGGAGCTCAACCGGTTGAAGATTTGTCCAAGTATTTAAACACAGTGCATTTCTACTAGCTAATTCAGCACTCCTATGTAATTTGTACTGTCTCCAAAAACTAAGATAGTTAAGAGTTATTTGAGGTGTGTGATTACAGTCTCTTTCTCATTATCCATGAATGTAATTTACCCACAAGAAACTCATGATCTCCTGCTGAGTAAAAGTAAAAGGCTGCCTTAAAATATGCATAATGAGAGAGAGAATACAGGCAAGAAGCACTTCTTAAACAAAAATCAAACAAATTATTAATATGAAAAAATTCATCCTTCTCCTGCTGGGAGTGGGTATATATTTGTCTAGTGCATAAATGTCCTTGGTTGAATGGTCCAATGGTATATGTAAGATAAAACGAAGCATCTCTGTTTCTTCTGAGGTTAGCAAGTGATTGATATGTTGAGGATTGTTGGCTTTCAGTCAAGTACTGGCAATGTGTTTTGAAAAAAAGAAGTCTTTCCCTCCGCCTGCAGTGCTGGGTCTATTCTTTGCAGGTTTTCAAGTATCAACAATCAATATAGAATATTAAGCATTATGAGTATTCAAATGTAAATTACTGCGTGCGTGGTGAGATCGGAGCCTGGCTGGAAGCCAGCCTGTGTAAATATGAAACAATTTGAGCTCATTATTATGAGAATGGGGCACATGCTTCCAATACTGACTAACAAGTAGGGGAGTTTGTGTAATCTGCCTGTAAAGCTGGAGCCTGCTTGTACCATGTACTCAAGTGTTCAGCTCTTGACTGTGGTGCCTTGGCCACTATAAAAGATGGAGACTCTTAGAGAGAAAACTGAGATCTGGGAGGAAGAATCCAGCATGAGGGGATTCTTGTGTATTATCCACAGCCTCAGACTCTTTCCAGCAAGAAAAAGTACTTAGGGCAAATGTGATGAACTGCAGGAGCAGAAGAAAAGGATGTGCACATACACCCCCACCTCCTTTTTGGGGGAAGGAAAATGCTGTGTGCCTTAAAATATCTACTTCGGTCACATGAGACTTGGATCCTGCACTTCCCATCACTTCTTACTGCCATATGACGTGAGGGTAAAGCCTGGCTACAGTGTACTGAAGAAATCAGAGAAGCATTTAGGTGTGAAAAGAGCTGCAGTTATTTTTTTGGAGGACCAGGCAAAAGCCTGGATCAATGACTGACAGCATAATTAATAGCACAGGGGAATAACCATCAGTTCTCTCCTTCCCATTCCTCCTGTTCAACAAATCCAAACCCTTGGACGTGCTACCACCAAGTCTTGATTTGGGACAGATCTTAAATGTGCTTAGTCTGACTCCTGGAAGGGTGGGGAAGGCCTGGACAAGAGCAGCTTACGATGTTCACTTTTCTTTCACTTGGTGTCCTGATTTTTAGCTGAAATAGAGCTGGGTTTCTCTTACATCTTCTCACTCCTCTCCTTGGTAAGACCATCTGTAGCTCAGTCTGCAACAGGCAGAAGGCAACACTGACTGCCCATGAGGTCGGAGAATAAGTAGTCATCCAAGCTGTGGAGGGCTCAGAAGTGACATATCCTGGGCATGGGCCCCCTCTCTGCAAGATGATGTGCATCACACAGGTGATGTGACTGTGCTGGAGCAGAAACTTCAGTAGGAAAGACGTTGTAGAGTCCGATTAGGTGGATGCTGCAGTGGCTGAGCCTGAACTGTGAAGGACCTCAAAAGAGTATTAGCCAGTTCTACTGCAAGGAAAGGCTCAATTTATGGCTTCAAGACAAAATCTATAAGGATGGAAACCAGACTTGCATCACTAACTTCCTTGGCCTACGGTCTGTATTCTGCTGCCTTTCACCCCAACACCTAAATATTTTCCCCTTTTCCTTCAGAAAGAAGGTTGGGAATTTTGAGCAAATATCTTGTGGTCTCTAACCCTGATGGATTCAGTGAGCTTTGGAGTTGGTTCTCCAATCACAAGTAGTGGTTTGATCAAGAGAAATGGTTTGCTCCAATGCTTGAGTAAAATGTTTAAATATGTGAAAGACTGAATACTACATATAATTTCAAGATATCTAGAACTACTGCAAATTGTGTGTGATGTATTCAGGAGTTCAAACATGCCTATCACAAATGCATTATTACAACAGGCAAATAATCATGCACGTTGGCAGTAAGCATGGTAGTGTGCGTCAGTAGAAGGTGTTCACCTCCCCAATTCCCTCTCTTTTTTTTTTTTTTTTTAATTAAAAACTGTACAGTTAACTTAGTCAGACATAAAATTGAAGAAATGCTTTTACTGCTTTGGGAGAAAGTACTCCTTTTTATTAGAAAATGGTGTTAGGCTTAGCATTGTAACTGCAAATTCAAAGAAAGTAAATTCATTAAGAACTCAAATTCTGCCCTGTGCAAACTAACTGATGAAAACTGATATGACTTGAATGAAATTTCATCTATATGAATGAAAAGACTTGGTTCCCCTGAGTCTTAAACAAATGCTGGAAGAACCAGCTAACAAGTGGGGAAAGTCAGAGATTCTCACAGAAGATGAGAAATTTGATGTAGTTGCCCTTCTCAGCACCTGGTAGGTTAAAATTAATGAATTCAGGGAAGAAGGAATAGATGTAAAGCAGAGTCAAACCTGCACTGAAGGCAGTGTTATTGCTTTTGTTTGAGTTCTTGATAACTGAGACAATGTCGTGTCTCTGTTACAGATCAATATGCCAAATTACAAAGCGGAAAAGTGGGATATTGGAAGGGATCTATGACAAATCACTGAATTAAATCAAAGAACAGTATGTCTACCCAGTTCTAGCATGTGGAAAGATAAATAATAATTTATGGAAAGTCATAGTTATTAATGACCAGGATGGGAATTTCAGAAAGAGAAAACAATAAGATGTTTAAATAAATATTTACTCTATAGCCAGAAGCTATTAATTTACAATTAAGAAAGATTATTTTGTCTGCAAGTCCATCTTTCAATGGTACCATAAGGACAGCAATTAGAAGTAAAAATCAGCTGTAGTGTGATTTATTAGTCTTATTTTATTGAAGTCTAAGAGACAAGAGGGTAAAAAATTGATCAGTTCAACTCAGGAAACATGAAAGAATTTTGCAAATGTATTTTAGGAGCAAAATAAAAGTTTTATAACTGCTGTAGGTCCCTTTGGAGGAGACAGTAATGTTGAACATGGTGTTTTTGGTATAATTTAACATGATATTTGATAAGAAGCAGGATGAGTAGGTACTTCCTATTCCAAATGTAATTTTTAGCACTATTGGTTGCAGGTTTTATAGACATGTTTATATAAAATTTGCTTATCATTGACAGTCCTATAGAGTCTACTCAGGACATTACTAACACTCAACAACTAATGTGATAAATAGTGGAACCCTGAATGAATTCTAGAAGATTGGAAAAAAGTTTTGTCAATATCAGGAAAGGTATGTAAGATTACATGGAACAGCTTACCCCAGTGCAAGCACTGGACAAGCTAAGAGTGAAGCTGGTATGGTGGTAAAATACTGAAGAATGAAAACTTGGGACTATAATTAAGAGAGATGTTAAGCTGTCAAGGGAAGATAGCTCTGTATCACACTAAGTGCTTTGGTGTTACAAGTTCTGTTGACACAGGTAGCTTCCTAGATGTAAAGCACTTGCCCCCGGGAGGTGTCTATCTTCATATATCATACAACCTGCTCATGAAAAATGTGGGACTATAAAATAATCATTTGCCAGATCTCAAAAAGCAGATGCCAATGAGAAAGCTTTACTAACCAGCAGAGGTCTGTGAAGGCTGGTGCTAAGCCATTCAGACATTTGTAGTGCTCTTATCTCTGTATATGCTCCAAAACCATTACTGGAAAAAAGTTATGGCTGAAAAACATTTGGGTGACAAAAACTGGCAGCATGGTAAACAGTGGTTGAGATAAGGAGGGTAGGCACAAGTGACTTGGATCATTTGGAAACATGAGCTCACTCAGATGAACTGATCTTTTTAACATTGCTCAGTCCAGACTCCTAACTGCATTTCTGTTGATGAATGTGTCCTTGCAGCAGTGAAAACCATAACTACAGGAGGTGGGGGGAAAGCTCAGCTTGGCAAATCAGCACAGTATGTGGCCTCTGTGCTGGAGCTGACCATGAGGGCACGTGGGCTTGGAGCAGTGCTGTAGTGTGAAGGATGAAAGCAGGATTTTCCACACTTAATCTTCAAAGTAGACTCTTAGACTGGAGCAGGGCTATTCTCAACCAGAATAATTTGTGCGTGGATCATTGGAAGTTCACTGTAACAGCTATGAGTTCATTGTTTGTTTAGGAATTAAGCTGCTCTTCACATGCAACTAGTCTCTAAGAAAAAAAAAATAGGTTAATACGTGTTTTCTTCTTGTAGTGTAACAATGTCAAACATCAGAGATGAGAAACAAAAAGAGCTTGAGTCAAATGTCATCAATCTAATCCAAAATCCAAAGACTATATTGATCAAAGTTAACTTGTTTACTTCCTGGCTCCAAGTTAATAAGATGATTGATGATGGATTTACTTTGTAAGTACCTCTGCAACAGAGGTCTCTTTAATAGCAGTCATTTTTGTAACTCAACACATACACTCCAAACACTTAGTGTTTTGGAATGCTAATTTGATAATGGGGTAGGCTGAAAAAGACCTCTACTTTTTTATCCATGAGTATATTTTTGTATACAGTGATAGGATCCCGACAGCAATTCTGCTGAGCTAGAGCATCATAATGGAAATGCAAGAAGACTACAGCAGTAAGTCCAGACTGAATTGTTCTTTCTGGTCTACCTCCAGCCTTCTGGTGAACTCTCTAAGTCCAAGATGTGCAGAATATTGATGCTGAGACCTGCTTCTTGGATCCAGGAGGAAACGTGTTTCTTTTGTGCTGTCAACAGTGCAGAAATAAGTGCAATATTTTTAGCCTTAAAACTGAGGGTTTGAGAGGGTTTTTTAGCAGAGCTCTGTCTTTTAGGCATGTTTTTACAAAATGGTTTTAAGAGACATTCTTTTTGTGTGTGTGTGTGTGTGTGTGTGTTTTCCCTTTAACTGCTTAGGCAGATGCCTGAACTCATGGCTCATCCAGGTTTGTTTTATGCCATTATCAAAGAACAAATTTAAATGTTACCTGCACACTTGTAGAGCTCTAGATGGTGCTAGACTTCTGTGGGCAATGCAAGCTTCAGAGTGGGGTTGATAGTGATGTGTTTAATTTGCATCAATGACCACTAATGCACAACAGGATTTTTCAGAAATGTGTATGGTTCAGCTATGCCTTTATCATAAGAAGATAGTGTTGAAGGATGGTGGCAAGAGTTCACAGTGGAATAATTGTCAGTGTAAGTCTTATTCAGTTGGCTCTATTTTCTTCATCTCTACAGATAATTATGTCCCTTACATATATCTTTGTGCCCTGTAAAAAAACATCAGTTGTCAGTCTTTGCTTAGTGCTTTCTATGTTTTGACGGGTCAGCTATGAACCTCTCTGAGCTTTCAATGGTTTGTCTATGTGGAAACATTTTATTGTGAAGCCAAATTATGAACACTTAATCCATGACTGAGTCTACACTGTAGGAGAGATTATGATCTCTGTGGACATGTTTAGCATAAATTTTGATGTGTAATCATGCCAGACAGGACTCCTTCTGAGACCAGTTTAGGTACACAGTTCTCTCAATGACAAGAGCAGCCAATATATTTCTCAGAAGCAATATCTTCCCACTCCAGTGAGGAAAATAACACTGACTAGAATATTTTGGCTAATTTTACGGTATGTGGCATCAGCCACAGGGGTAGTAAAGCCTAGATATGTAAACACATGCAACAGTGGCTTGGAATTCCTTATAACATCAACACTCTTCCACAATCTTGGTGTATTTAAAAAAAAAAAAAAAAAAGTTCTAGTCTCTGATAAGCTTTTAAACCACTTGTTCCCAGAAATGAGTTTATTATTCTCCTTTTTGCTATCATTGTTCTGTGAATAAAGAGACGTGTTACAAGTATTGATTGTCCATGGTATGTTGTTGGACAGCTATGACTACTCTGTGCCCCATGGGAAGGTTCTTCTCACAAAGAATGAATGAACTCTGAGTTAAGAGTCCCAGGCTGGAAACACTTACACAAATTGCAATTTTCAGTGTTCAGTGTCCAGCTGACAAATGGGTTGACTGTTTCTGAGACAGTTTGAAGCAAAAAAGTAGTCTCCATATTAAAAATGCTGCAGCTTGAACTTTTGGGTTGTAGATATGTTTCATTCTAAGATCAACCCCTCATTAAGAGATGGAACCCCTAATCAGCCTCAAACTAGAATATTTATCAGCTTGAAGCTGTGATATTTGTTCCACAAATAGGAAGCAAAACATGATTTACTATTCAGGATCTGGGAGCTAACTCCTGTTGACTTCTTAAGGTCTGTTGAAATGAACAGCTTTCCAAAAGCTGTAGCAGCAGAAGGGTAACTGTGCCTGGAGAGACGTTTTTCTTCCATATTCTGATGAAAACTGCTGTAAGTATGCCAAACTGAACTATCACAGGCACTCACTGTCACAGAATTTATACATTTTTGTACATCAATAGAAATATACGACCTGCAGTGCACCAGTGCTACTTACCTGTGCTGTCTTCATACACTACTGTTACTATTTTCCAATTGTAGTATAGTACAAGATCCAAAACTGCTCTGCTGATGGCTGCATAGTCTGGATAGAGGTTGATATAAAATGCATCTTTGTTATCCACTGTAGGGTGCTTCCATCGGGTCTGAATATGTGGGACTTCAAGTGCATTGCAAATGGACTGCACTGCGCTGACAGAGGAGCTGTGGGATGGTCCAAACAGAGCAGCTACACCAAGAGCGAGCTGGTCGCACGCTGGTGGGGAAAGGGAGGGAGAGGAAGAAGCTGTTAGTTGGCAAAAGCATGTAACCCATGCAATGTTTACAAGACAGTTTATTCTCCATCCATCTTCATCATTTCAAAGTGAGAATGGGTAACCATGTCACTCCCAAACATGTTGAGAGATTTGCAAATGGTTCCTGAAAATGGCTTTACTGATTAGCATCATATCCTAGAACCTGCTTGCTACAAATAAAAACCAAAACAACTTCTCTGTTCATTAACTTCAGATCATGTTGATTCCTAAATTGCCTTTCTCAGAATGGCATTGTCCTGGAGAAACCAGGAGCTTTCTGGCTACAGGCTTGCCAAAGGAATGTCACATGAATTAAGTTTCATGGAAGCATGTCAGGAAATATGTTCAGAGTCAGACACTATATGGATTCCCTCCGTGACTGGCAAGCTTCTACCAATGTGAGTTGCTTTAATTTCAGGCTACTGAAGTAATATAAACAGTAAAAGGCACTATGATTCATGGCACTCCATAATCTGTGTTTACAAAAAAAGGCAGTAAAGCCTAAGGTCCTCAGTAATGACACAGGGAAATAAAGAACTAACACACACACAACATTTTAATACCTTTCCAAATCAGTCAAATGCTAGTATCAACAAAGTTTTCTTTCTCCTTGTGCCTATATCTCAGCCAAAAGAATATCTCCTGTAGGTATCTTTTCGTTTTTCTTTCCCTCTCATGTCTTTTCAGGATAGCAGGTGGAAGATGAAGCAATATTAATTACTTTTGTCCATTAGTAAAATTTACTGCAAATGTTTCTAATAAGGTCTTTATTAACTGGGACAAGGCTCTTCACTAAGCTGCAATGTTGTACCCTTTGTAAGGTTGTTCTTTGTGGGGAATACAGAAATTACTCTGATTGGATGAAATACTAAGTACACAAACTTCCACAATGAGCTGCGATCTTTCAAATTAATATTTAGCTCTCTGACAGTAATAGAATACGACAGAAAATAATATTTCCAGTCTACAAATGAGTGTTTTACAGACAGCACAAAATGCAAAGGCTTTCAAGGTTTAATTCAGAAGTCTTCTTAAAGGATCACAAGTTTTAACATGCAAATTCCATAAACAATCTCAATAATTCATGGAGAGAACAAATTACTACTGTCTGCTTGGATTCCTTGCATGTAGATTTAAAAAAAATGTTTACAACTAACTCCTTCCTCCAGATTCAATGGAGAAGGTACTTTCACAAAAGAGATTCTCACTCTACAGAGAATCTAAAATCCTGTCTCAGTCTGGATTATATGGGTTATAAATCCAGCATACGTTATTTTTGAGAGCATATAGTTCCAGCATGCATCTGATATTTGAAAAATAAATGAATAAAGACAATTTAAAGCTATTTTCAACACTCTTTGAAAGTGTTTTCCTTTTTCCAGTCTTTAGAAAGAAACTAGAGTACCATGAGAATAATTTAGTAACTTAAGATGTTTGGAAGGCAAGAGCTCACCAGCATTCTAGCACCATTTGTGATATGAAGCATGTTTATTTCCCATCCTTTCTTTTCCTTATAGCAGACCTCTTTTGCCTTATAGAAAGCATATCTTGTACCATATACAGTGCCAGATGTTATAGTGAGTTGCAAAGCACATCTGCAAAGTCTTAGTGACTTGTGGGTCTTTCTCCAGACTCGTTTGCTTGAGATTGTGAGCACACCATGCAATTCCAGGAACTAGGCTGCTGTATCTAAAAATTCTAGGTTGCCTCCTAGAGGTGAAGAAGTACACTGTGTTTAAGGAGAGTTGTGACATTTTTCCCCTTCCTGTTTTGGTCTGTAAGTTAATTAGATGCAAGTAAATTGTAAATTGGACCGTAATTTTCCCTCTGAGAAAAATAAAAGAATAGGCAAAAAAAATCCCAGACTTCTGTGCTCCAATTCTTATAGTTATTTATAACAGAGAAATTTACTTCTGTCTCTAACTCTCTGACGCATTAATATTTTAGGACAGGGAGACTACTGGCCTCTGTTCTTTAAAGTACAATAGAAATAACTTGTTATGAATAATGGATATCTGTGTGTGTGTGCTAATTATGGGCTGTGACATCCCACTGTGCTCCCTGTTAGTCCGTGATCATATTCTGCAGAATTCCAGGTGGCAAATCTATTTTTTGGAAAGAAAAATGGGCTGGACTTGCCACCTTCCATCTGGGGCTCTTAGCATGCAGACAGCATGTAGGTGTTCTATCAGAAACTAGATGACAAGTCCAAGCCCAGCTTCATTCTTAGGTCAAATAACCTAGAAAGATGAATTTTATGTTTCCATTCATATACATGTTACAGTCGGAGCAAAGAAAAAGACCAGGCTGGAGAAAGGTAGTACAGAACACGTATGTTACTGACACAGTAGTTGAGATAATTACCTCTTCTTGAGGCTTCAAAACTATCAAAAAGGTTAATTCTCTGGATGTCATAGGTTAATGTGGTATTAGGCATCAGTGTTCTGTTTCTATTAATGTTGGTGACTGCAAACTTGAAAGCCAATTCTTCAATATTAACAGGTTCATTTTCCACAGTTTCGAATATCCCTCCTGTTGAAACAGAGATAAATGAGAAGCATTATTCACCTTTTCATCACTGTACATAAAAAGAGAAAAATAAATTATAAGCAATAATAATCTGAGTGTTCATAAAGGAAAACAGTTAAAATTGCTGTTAAAAGCACTACAGCAAAAGCATATTGGATCATTAGTTTTTATCTACAATGTCACTGTAGGTTAACTCAATATTATGAATGTTGCTTAGACAAACATCTGTGAAAGATCATGCATGTTTATTATTCAGGCTTGTCAAAATAAAATTTTTAAAACTTCTATTGAGTTCCCAGCTAACAAAAGTAGTGATTTTCATAGGTCTTGTTCCCCCTCGTCCAATCTAATCTATGTTTAACAGATGAAACCTGAATATGTTAGAGGTGTTTTCTGAAGTGTTTCTGCAAATTGGAAGTATAAGATTCAGAGGTGACTTAGGAGTTTGAGTAAAAATGGAATGAAAGTTTCCACTCAAGACTGATATCTTGGGCTTTGTTCTTCTATAAACCTTAAGCAACTTTGTTGGCCATCTCTCATTTGCTCAGGGAGAGGTGAATATTTTTACTTTTCTAAAGTTCGTTGCTGAATGAACTGAACTACTTGATACCGAGCATAACTGAGCCACACACTGCTCCCACAGATTTCACCTTTATGCCAAAGTGTTGAGTGATGTCTCCAGCAGTGTAGTGTCTACCAGTACCAACACAACACTGGTTTAGAAGTCTCCTTCTACGAGACTGCTGGATATAGCAATTGCAATCAACTTCCTATCATTCCTCTAGACTCTTCTTCCAACATCTGTTTTGAACTGTTTGAACCAAGAGGTATCCCAACCCATTCTGTACAATCCCAGCTGGGCAACTGCTCTTTAAGTGCTGCTCAATTCGTTGGAACTTATTTTCTACCCTTCAAACTGTAATCGTATATACTTCTTGCTCCTTTTAAAACAAATGAGGTGAATCCAAGCTTTTCTTTAACCTGGAAGCAAATTTTCTAGAAAAGAACCTGTAAAGAACCAATCTGAATTTTGGAAGCATTCTGAACTGCTTTGGCATATACTCTGAGATGGAGAAGGTGGCTGTGTTTCAATTCAGTAGGCTGTCCCACTTATATTGGGATGTCTACTCCCTGTAGCCTCTGGAGACTTTATTATGCCAACAACACATTCAGGCTGTCTAGGAGCACTGGGATTTGATGAATGCATAACAAACACAGCTAATTTGAAAAAAAATAGCTCCTTTAAACAGCAATCTCCAGCTTCAGTACTTGATTTTGCAAGTATAATTTACTCATTTAGTGCAAGCCACTAGAGAATACTTTGGATTTCTCAGTTACATATTTTCGCATTTCCCCATCTGAAATCTGAGCCCTAGATAATGCTTTATATTTTCTGAGCATGAGAATGCATTCAGCTAATGCAGTACAATCTCTTGCAATTTTGATGTCACCAGTGTAGAAATAGCGCAGTCATTAGCTGACAATCAGGAAATGGGAACACGGTGGATTTAAAACCTGTTTCGAATTTTAACTCAGCAATGAAAACACTGGAGGCTACCAAATCCAAGCTGGCAATGCAATCTTTAGCTACTCCTGAATATGCAGCATTATATTATCTCTCAAACCCAAATATAACAATACCTTAACTTGACTTAATTTTGCCAACATTAGCAATTTTCTTCACTATATGTATTTCTCATTTACCGTATTTAAAGGACATGTAGATGTGGTGCTTAGGGACATGGTTTAGTGGTGGCCTTCATAGTGTTAGGTTTTTGGTTGGACTTGATGATCTTAAAGGTCTTTCCCAACAAAAATGATATATGCATGCATTAGAACCTTAAAGACTTTCTGATATTTTTTCCCCTCCATCATAAAAAAATACAAGTGATTACACGAGACTGTGACACACAGAAATAGCTAGGAAAAAGTTTAACTGCTGGTTTTGGAATCCAGTGTAAAACCTCACGTGGAATGCTGTGAGTCAGCAAGATTTTCCAGGTTTGCAAACTACAGGATTACCAGAAGGAAAAAAATCTATTGTCTATTATTTTGGATCCTATAATTCTTCATCCCAATGATTATACCAACAAACTTTCAGGTTAAATAAAATTTGCTTTCTTTCCTTTAACTTGAGGAAGACAAGTAGTTTTCAGTTAGCTGTAACACCAACTTGAGCTTGCGTCAGCAAGATACAACTGTTATGTTTTGCTTGGACCTCTACTACAATTAGCAGAATATTGTTTCATAAGGTAAGGTGGATGTCATGGAGTATAATGGACAGCCTGAGATAACTTTCTAATAAGGCAGGGTGACCACCACCTCTCCTGACTTCCAGTAGAATGAGTATCTTACAATCTTCGCAAAAAATCTTCTCCATCTTGGAAATTATTATTGTGCTGTGCTTGTATTACTTTTTTTTTTTTTTTTTCATTAAAACAACTTATTTCATCCACCCCTGAGGTAACCTTCATACCTATACATACACAAGCACTTTCCCATTTCAGGACTAGAACTTTTTCCAGGCCTCTAATCAGTTGCGTATTAAGTGGAGATTAGTTTTAATTGATGTATATCCATGAACAATTTATACTTCATTAGCAGAATTTTGCAGAATTTTTTCTTGGTCCTCTTTAAAAAAAGAGTAGAAGCTCACTGGCCAGAGGGAAGGAGCAGAGGGAAAGGAGCGACGATGGAAAGACTGGAAGTTTTGCATGGATGTGTTTGCTAAGCAAACTAATCAAAACTGCATATGTATTATCACGTACACTTCAAATGTATTCAGATAGGTCTTTCTGAAAGCCAGCTGTATAATCAATATATTGGTGCCCATTCAACCTTTTTTTCCAGGTTTCTTTTGTACATGTTAACATAGCAGTAAAGCACTTACAGAGAACTTTGGTTACATGCTTTAATTTGCTGGTGAGATACTCTGGTTAGGTCTGGTGTAAGAACAGGACAGACAGTCAAGAGTTTCATAATTCTATACATGAAATTTAGTTCAGCTGAACTGGAGATGTTTAGGGTGCTGTTTAGTCTCTGAAAGATAGTGCTCCCACCCCCAGCTAGGATGTGGAAGTTTTCAGACCACAAAAGGCATTCTTCCAAGTCAATAAATGTTTACTTGACTCAATGTTCTCTAGATTAAACCCTAAATCAAGTACAAAGTCCACGAGAGAGTTTATGGAGGAAACTGTTGCTTAGTGTGAGTGAAATACTGGATAGTTGCATTGTGAAAAGCTTGAACCGCTACCTATATGAACTTGATATTTCTGTTGGGACCTATGTGTGTAAAAAAGTGTTGAATCAGTCTATAAATTTGCACCCCAAACAAGCCAGCAGATAAAATCTGGCTGTCCTGTGCTATTGTGTTTTCATCCATGTATCCTTAATGAAATCCAGCAATATAGTAAATAGTTTGTCTTCTCCCGTGTTCTGCTCATGCTGCTGCTTAGAATTTATTTTAAGGTCCAGGTTAAAAGAGAAATAACAGAGTAAGTGACAAGTTTGACGAAGAACTGGATTGACAGGTGATTAATTTAAATAAAGTAATTACTGTACAACATTTTAAAAACAAATTAACCACAGTTTTCTACAAAGGAAGGAAGAAAAATAAATGTTAACTCAAGATATAAATGATGCTCCAGAAATGAGGCTATTATTGCTAAGCACAAAAACAAGCACTGGCTTTTAAGGTAGGCTGCTGGTAGCACATACATGGCACAAAGTTTAAATTTCTGAGTCCTCCCTTTCACCCTCCTCCCCTCATTCCCAATTACTCAGTCAGATAGTGAATTCAGTGCAGCAGCTTCAGCCAACCAAAGGCTGTTTAGTCCTGATCAGTGGCAGACCTGACCTTTCTTCTGCACAGGCACTACATCTGCCCTCATGATGAGTGGGACTGTCCACCTGAGTCA